TTTATCCCTAGTGCTTGAACTGGCTTTTTGGAGCCCATTCTCTTTGGAGGGATACATTGCTCAGCCTAGGTATAGGGCAGAGGGCCTTGGTCCTGTATCAAAGTGATGTGCCAGACCTTGTTGACTCCCATGGGAAGCCTTTCCCTCTCTGAGGAGTTCAAGGGGGCAGGAGGAGAGAGGAAGAGGAAACTGGGATTGGTATATAAAATGAGAAAAGATTGTATTAAATAAAGAAATAGAAAAAAAAAAGAATGTGGCCTCTGAGAAGCCATATGACCCATAATTTAGTAGATGGTTCCTCACTCATGCATACTGGCAGCACCAAAAGGACTCAGTAAACTAAACACACACACACACACTCACACACACACATGAATTTGGGAGGGAATAGTGGCAGTGAGGAGAGGGAAGGGGCTGGAGAGGAAGGAATGGAGGGCAGACTTTATCAAAACACATATGCATGTATGGAATTCTTAATAAAAATAAATAAAAGAGCAGAGCCAGGTCAGGTAGTGGTAGCACACACCTTTAATCCCAACACCTGGGAGGCAGAAGCAGGGGATCTCCCAGTTCAACCAGCCTGGTCTACAGAGTGCATTACAAGACAGTCAGGGCTACACAGAAAAACCCTGTCTCAAAAAAAAACAAAAATAGTCGGGTGGTGATGGCTCACACTCAGCACCCAACACTCAGAAGGAGAGGCAGACGAATCTCTGAATTTGAGGCCAACCGGTCTACAGAGCAAGTTCCAGGACAGCCAGGCTTACACAGAGAAACCGTGTTTTGAAAAAATATAAATAAATAAATAAATAGCATGGTGGCAATGCCTTTAATCCCAGTACTCAGGAGGCAGAGGGAGGCAAATCTCTCTGTGAGTTCTAGTCTACGTATCGAGTTCCAGTCCAGTAAGGACTACATAGTGAGACCCTGCCTCAAAAAACAACAACAGAAAAGAAACTAGAGAGATGGCTCAGCAGTCAAGAATGTGTGCTGCTTTTCCAGAAGGCCTGCCTCCAGGAAGCTCACAATTGCCTCTAACTCCACTTATAGGGCGTCTGATGTCCGCTCCTGGCTTCCACGGGCACTGAACTCACATGCACAATGCCTGAACTCACATGCACAAATTCACACTCTCTCTCACACACACACACACAAAATTTTTTTTAAGATAAAACTAAATAAATTTAACTTCCTCCTGGATTCTGTTCTGTGCTGGTGTCAAATATCAAACCCCTGATCAAATGCTACCCAGAAATACTCACTCTGGCAGCAGCTTCAGCTTTAGAATTTACTGGGCAATTCGCTTTGTGTCTCTGCCTCCCCGCTATCCCCCTCCTCTCTCACTGCTAACTACATTCTTCCAATCTTCCTCTCCCCCCTCCTCCCTCACAGCTAACTACTCAGTTTCCTTCCCCCCCACTTTCAAATAATTGTACCAATTAAATTGTCCAATTCCCCCAGGACCCTGCTGGGATACTGATTAGGAAATAATTGAATGTATTAGACTGTTTGGGAGAAAAATAGCATGTCTACAGTGTGTAGAAACACCTTTTCTTTTCCTCCAATAGCTTCTCTTATCTCATAGTATTGTCTGACATTATCCTTTAAGGGCACAGAAAAAATGTTTAAAGATATTCTTACCAAAATATATGGGTTTTTGCTAACATAATGGGATCTTTTAAAACTATATTCGATATTTGTTCCTACTATCTAAAAAGATGCAGTTTATATTTTTGTAAATTACTCTTTCATCCAGTAGTTTTTCTGAATTCTCATCATGTTTCTCACTATCTCCTGGGACTTGCTAACAGACACTGCCAGCTATCCTGGCATGTGGCCATCTGCTCTTGTCAAGGGAGGGGCCGTTGCAGGCTGCTCCTAGGTCTTCAGGTCAGCTGTGTGCCAGATGGGTTTAGCCAGAATTCCCAGACACAAAAATGTGTTCCCCCAACAGTTCCTGCCACTGTTGAACAAGCCCATGATGATCCCTGTCACCCACAAGTGACCCCACATTGGCTTTGTGGTACCACCCCGTCTCCATCCCAAAGGAGATGGTGACTTGCTGCTGAGGAGAATCTCTTCAGCCCTTATGTCATGATGCTCTGTGCTTAAATGTCCCCACCAAAATTCACATTGAAATCGAGTCTTGAAGATGAGAAAGACGGTGCAGGGGTTAAGAGCATTACCTGCTCTTTCAGAGAACCCAGGTGCAATTCCCAGGATCCATGTGGTGACTCACAACTGTCTGCAACTCCAGTTCCAGGGAATCGATCACCCTCTTCTGACCTTGGTGGGTACTGTATTCACATGGTGCACGATCATACATTCGGGCAATACATCCATATACATAAAACAAAAGGAAAGAAATCACAGCCTGGTGTGGTGGCACACACCTTTAATCCCAGCACTCAAAAGGCAGAGAGGCAAGCAGATCTCTGGGAGTTCAGTGCCACTATGATCTACATAGTGAGTTCCAGGACAACCAGGGCTATGTAGAGAGACCCTGCCTCAAAAAGAAATAGAATATATAATTTTTGAAAATGTATTTATGTATTTTATGTATATGAGTGCTTTGTCTTCATGTACATATGCACACCAGAAGAGGGCATCAGATCATGAGCTGCCATGTGGGTGCTAGGAATTGAACTCAGGACCTCTGGAAGAGCAGCTCTTAACCACTAAGCATCTCTCCAGCTCCTAAATAAGATTTGTTTTTTTGTGTGTGCATTATTTTGCTTATTTTACATGCATGCTGGAGATTCGAACTCAGGTCCTCATGACTGCACAATAAATGCCCTTACTCACGGAGCCATCTTCCTCACTAAATAACTAGTTTTTATATAAAAAAGAATTCAGGCTCCACTTTGAGGTATTAAGCGATAAGGCCAGATGGGATAGTGTAGAGGTAACTAGGTCACAGGGGACAAAAGCACCCATGCATCAGCAGGTCAAAGAGCTCTCTCAGGAGCGGATCTGTTAGCGAGGCCAGGCTAGATGGCCCTTAGTCATGTGATGCTTTGCACTGCCTAAAATCTTTGCAGAGAATCCACCTTACACTCCCAGCCTCCAGAACCTTAAACTTAAATAAAGCTTGCTGTCCTGGAACTAGCTCTTGTAGACCAGGCTGGCCTTAAACTCACAGAATTCACCTGCCTCTGCCTCCCGAGTGCTGGGATTAAAGGTGTGTGCCACCACCGCCTGACTATGAAGTTTTTATAGCAACAGAACAAAAAGGGATTACAAGCAAGGCACCACTTAGACACATGGGTGGGAATGTTAAACGGCAGCTACGGCAAGGTGGAGAAAGCGCAGCTGTAAGTCTGAGACGCTGCTTGGCGGATGACTCTTAGCCCTTTGATGAGTGGAGAAGGTTTGGTTAACACAGTCCAGGGCTTTTATCCATTTGTCAGTACATTAGGTCACACACAGAGGGGTATGAGGAATGACTATTTAGGGGGCTAAAGCTACCCTGAGACAAACCATAATCAGGCTCTGGGCCTGCAACACTGCAACCTCCCCACTCCACTGAAGCTCTAAGCAGTGACTCAGCCTTTGCAGACAGAGTGTGCTTCCAGGAACTCTCCTTCACACATCCAAGTCCACTTTGGCAAACCATGAGCTTACTTTTGTCTGTTCACAGGGGCAAGACTGTTTACAAAGATTTATTTATCTGGGGATAAACTCACAGGAAGAGTAGCGATCCACAATCCTCTGCGTGTGCTGGGAACTGCGTGGGGTGGGAGGACGTGGCAGACGGGAATGGGGGTGGGATGGGGATGGGATGGGGGAGTTGGAGTATAAATAAGTTCCACATAAGCTCACTTTAAGAAGTTGCATGGGAAGGTCCCCTGGAGACAAGAGTTGGGTAAAGAGGGGGACAGTTCTGTTAGCACACTCTTTGTGTCTTCTTCCTTTAGAGACAGTGAACTATGCATTGTTGTCTAGACCTGCATTTGTTCTTTCTGCCTTCCTGTGCTCTGCCAAGGTCAGGGAACTCGTGACTCTGCCAGCTTATCCTGCCACATGAGTGGGTTTCCAGATGTTGCTCAGAGGCCCATTTCCAGTCACTCTCAAAGGATATTGTAAGGCTGTAATGTTAGGATCTAGCTTCTGCTCAGCCTACACCAATCCCCTCCTTTCACAAAAACGTGTCCCATCCCTTAAGGCTCCGACATGGGCTGGTTCCACCCTTCAGAGACCTGGCCACGCCCTCTGTCTCTGGGAACTGAATGGTCCTCGGAGCTCCCACCATGCTGTTGCTTCCCGTCTGCCCGTACATGACATTAATAGCTCCAATAATTAATTTTAGTGTCCTAAACCCTTGCACTACCATCCAAAGCCTAACAGCTTGTGGAAGGGAGCTTTCCTGGGTGGAAACTGGAGGTATGGACACATTTATCTGCATGAAAAACTTACGGTGCACTGGATACCTTGGGGGGAGGGGGCATCAATCAACAACGGGAAGGAGGAATTTTTAACCAACAACACGTACTCCACAGCTATACCTTGGATAGGAAGGTTCTCCCATAAGCCTCGGGTGTTGAAGTCTTGGTCTCCAGCTGGTGAGGTTACTGAGGGGAGGGAGTGTTCTGACTTCATTAATGAATCAATATGTTGATTATAATCCTTAAAGCTGATGTATAAGGCACAGGCTGGCTTTGAACTATCCTATGGCTGGAATGGAAGGTGCGAGCCACCATACCCAGCTTCTGATTTGTTTTTACAAGGCCACGCTCCTACGGGGTAAGCGCCCTACCACGAAGCTGTGACTCCAACAAACAACAAACTCACAAAAACCTCGCCAAGTACAGTTAAGGGTGACATCAGGGCAGCATAGGCAGGCCCTAAATGAAGGAGCGGGACTTCCAGCAAGACCTGCCCAGGGGCGGTCCCCGCGCGCTCCCACCTAGGATTGGTGAATTCCTTCAGGGGTGGGGCCTCGGGAAGTCCCGAAATGCGCGCTCAGTCGCTTGTGCCCACCCTGGCCTGCGATTGGCGAACGTGAACGCAGGGCGGAGCCTCGGGTTAGTGCGTGCGCGCGCCGGTCACGCACCTAGGGGCGACCTCGGCGAGCAGCGTCTGTACCATGGCGGTCTCTCTCCTGCTTCGGGGAGGACGAATCCGGGCGCTGAAGGTAAAGGGCATACGGGCGCGACCTCCCCGGCCCGTAGCCTGACCCTCAGCTGTACCCGTGGGCTTGGTGCCACGATGACGGGTCCCAGGGCCTGTGCTCAGCTGACCCGGAGAGGTCTTTTTCTGCAGGAGCAAAGCTTAGGCTCTTTGGTTGATTTAAAAACGAAACCTGGGCCGGGCGATGGTGGCGCACGCCTTTAATCCCAGCACTCGGGAGGCAGAGGCAGGTGGATCTCTGTGAGTTCGAGACCAGCCTGGTCTACAAGAGCTAGTTCCAGGACAGGCTCCAAAACCACAGAGAAACCCTGTCTCGAAAAACCAAAAAAAAAAAAAAAAGAAAGAAACCTGGCTTTCTCTGTAAAACCAGTGTTGGGGGTTGTTTGGGTTGGGTTCTGAAGATGGAACCTGGGGCCCTGTACTTGCTTGTCAAGTGCTGTCACTGAACCATCCTCAAAGCAGGAAGTGCTCACAGCAAAATAAAATACTACAGGTGACCTAGGGTCCCCACCGTCAGATGGGCACTATTTAAACACTCCTTCAGGTATCTTGTTCCCAGCAATTTTTTTTCAGCGTGTAAAGATACACATAATTTGTACACATGCGAAGAATCAAATGTAATAGTAGTTTTCCCTTTCTTTTCTGGGCCCGGCATGGAGCCGCTTAGACTTAGCACATACCTTAGTGGCTGCGGGGGAAATTAGGAGTCTTCCCATTTACATTGTAACATTTCTGAAGCAATTAGTTGCATTGTGTTTACTAACAGATAGTGTTACTAAGTGTAGGGAGATAATTTGCAAAAAAAGAAACATAGTATTTTGTAGTGATTCAGTAGAGTAACAAAGTAAGTCAGTGGAGTAAATGGTCTGCCCTGTCTAGACCCAGAAGTCTGGGCCTTGCTTCCAGGATCCTGGTGGTGAGGGTTGCACCTTGCCATTTAAGTGATGACAGAGGCCCAGAGGCCAGCACCTCCCTCCTTTCCCCGATGTCAGTACAGGTCTATCTCACCTGGACTTTGTAGGACAAGTAGCAGCAAGGGCTTCTCCCAGTAGCGCATGCCTGTCGTCTACCCCTATGCCCCAAGCTACAGGCTCTTCACCAAGATGCTCTAAAGTTTTATATAAAGAAGCTGGCAAAGTTTTTTTTATTATTATTGCTGTTATTATTTAAATTTCCAAGTTTCCATTTTGGGAAATTTTTGCAGAGAATGGGGAAATGAAGATGCTTTCCTTTACCCAGATGTGGTTGCTCGGGAACTTGCGTTTATTTATCTTGCAGCTTTTTTTTTTTTTTGTACTTTTCATACTTCCCATATGTTATGAACATTGTAATAAATGTGCCACATGAATATTAATATATAGCACTCACATTATAATGGCTGTCATCAAGGTGAGTATCCTTCCTGTTGACTCTCCCCAGGCTGCATTCCTGGAGGCAAGGGTGTTCCGAGAACTGTCTTCTACGGTATCCCTCTCTACAGAGTCAGGGAAGATTGGAAAGGGAATAAAACCAAATCCCAAGAAGCAAAGTGCACCCAAAGGTGAGATTTTAAAGATGGTCTTGGAGGGGCAGAGACTACAAAGTCATTAGCATGAAACGAGTTTGACCAGCCACACAACCTAAGGTTCTTAATCTTTTCAGTGTCCATAGACATGGCAAAGGTGTCCTGGCCTGAATTCCAGAGGGATTTGATTCTGTTCTGCCCAAACCTGCCTGGTTTTAAAATACAGTGTTCTTTTCCTCTTGGATGCATTGAAAAACAGAAATCTTAAACATGAGGGCTATTCAACAATAACAACACATAGAATCCCAGTGTACCTAAGAAATGTCTCCAACAAGAATGCCTGTTAAGTCATGGCCTGTATGTGGCATGGTCTTTTATTTTTGCATGCTATAGATTTCAACCCAGGGCTTTACATAGCCTGGAATGCTTCTGACCTCTTACTGGTGAGTTGGATTTCAATACTAACTATGTCCTCTTCTCTGGTGGTGTTTAGGTACATGATTTTAAACTAAATGAATTTTAGGATCTAAGAACCTTCTATATAAAAACAAGTGTCTGAGCTGGGTGGTGGTGGTGGTGTACACCTGGAACCCCAGCACTTGGGAAGCAGAGGCAGGTGGATCTCTGTAAGTTTGAGGCCAGCCTGGTCTACAGAGTGAGTTCCAGGATAACCAGGCCTACACAGAGAAACCCTGTCTCAAAAAACAGACAAGAAAAGTGTCTGTGTGAGTTAAAGTGATGTCAACCTGGGAAGATCATCTGAGCCTGCAGCTTTGCCACCTCCCTCAGTGCTGTGGGGCTAATGGAAATGTGGGCTGTGTGTGCCTGTGTCTGTCTGTGCACTTAAGTGTATGTATACTCGTGCACTTTGGGGTGGAAGATAGTCTTCAGAAGTAAATTGTCTTCTGTGTATATCACACCTGTATATTATAACTTAAAATAATTTCTGTACAGAGAAAAATAATGTTTCCAAATAGCCACATGTAGGCCTGTGTTTTTCCTTGAGGTCCCAGGGATTAGAAACTATCAGAGTCCAGAGTGGCTTTGGGAGCCCCCAGGGCTTACTGCATCTGCTCTTGGTCCCCAGCCCGGGTCAGAAACTACCCCTGAGAACAACTCTAAGTCCATAGGCAGGCTTGTGTCTAAGGGTCAAAGGATGAGGCCAGGGCTGGGTTTGGGCGGGCCAGAAATACTCTCTCTCTCTCTCTCTCTCACACACACACACACACACACACACACACACACCATCATCAAAAGCAAAACCAGTTCCTGCATCCGTTATCCTTCCCTGGAATTCTTCCTGTAGCCAATGAGAAGAAGAGAAACTGTTCAGGCCTTCTCGTTCCATACAGCGGAGTCTCCTTGTTAAGATGCTCTGGAATGATTTTCCCTTTTTGTAGGTAAATACCCTGTGATGTAAATTTTTCTTCTGTGTGTGTATTGGGGGGTGGAAGGCTGTGGTTTGACACCAGGGCCTTTCATGTGTCCAGCACATGCCGTATCACTGAGCTACACCTCAACCCTAAGAATGTAGTTTTGGAGCTCATTACAATTCCCGAAATCTCAAGGAGAATGGTGCTCGGTGGCGGTGTGCCTAGTGTGCCTGAGCCCCTGGGTCCAATCAAGAGCAGAAAAACAAAATCCCCAAATCCTAAACATATTTCAGGAGAGTTAGTCTGTCGTTTTTCTATTCAAAAATAGCTAGCTGAGAACTTTATTAATTTTTTTTTTAATTTTTGAGAAGCCGTACATAGGCCAGGCTAGCTTCAAACTTACCACGTAGCTGAGGGTGACCTTGAACTTATGATCCTCCTGCCTCTTATCTCCAGAGTGCTAGAATCTCACCACACCTGCCTTATTGCAGTGCTTGGCTCGAACCAGGGACCTTGTGCCTGTTGAGCTAGCACTGTGCCAGCTGAACCCCACCCCACCCCTAAGGTCATTTCCTGTTTGTGAGAGGCAAGTTCAGAGAAATAGTGGTATAGATGAGTGGGCTTGCTGGCCTGGGGGCTGGGAAATCATACTTGTGGCTGTTGGAATCTGAGCTGTATGTATGGCTAACGCCCAGGGAGAGCAGGTATGTGCTGCCGTGCTCTGCCGACCTACTCGGCATGACCTGGAGCTGTCACCCTGTCAATCCCTGCTCTAAATGGCCAAGGCCAAGACAGACATAGTCTTCGCTGGTTTCAACTGTCACCCACTGCTCTCGCTCGGTCATTTCCTTTCACAGTCCTGTCACACATTCTCTGGCTTGGAAACTTCACTTTTCTCTGTTCCTACCCGTTCAGTTAATCATAGTTAATCATAGTCCTGATTCTGCCATAGAGGAGGAAGCAGGCGGTTTTAGCCTAGATGTAGCCCCTCTGTAGATCTGTTCATCTGGAGAATGTTTGGTTCCACTCAGGTATGAAGGGTAGTTTTCCATATTAATAACTTGTCCTGTGTTTTTCTTCTGATCCATATGTTTAGAAAGATTGGCACTTGCAAAGACGGAGTAAAATTAGTTCTAATAGATGTGGTTTTGTTTGTTCGGTTGTTTCTTTGTTGCTCTTTCCTAAGTGTCTATGAAATGTAAGGTTTTTCTGTTGCCCTGCTTTTTCTGCAGTTTAACAGCTGTTTCCAGTGATATGTATGGTATTAAATTATTTTAGACTTTTTGGCTTTGCAAATCTTGTTTTCTTGGCTGAAGAAGTCCCCATGTGACCTGTGGGATTTTGAGGACTTTCCTTCCTTTTTAGGGCAGCTTTCCTTGAAAAGCTGTTGCCACTCCCTCCTCCACACTCTTCCTCGTGGGGTGTGCTTTACTCGTATGCCAACAGACTCTTGTCTATACCGCTGCTGCTTTGTTTAGAAAGGTCAGACTCTGCACCTTTTTAATATTGGAAAAGCACCAAACACTTGAGTGGTCTCAGCACTTCAAGAAATTATGCATTTGGAAAACTTGTATAGTCAACTGAAAATACTTGCATTAGAGTTTAACTTGTTTAAATTTGGGTGAGATCGTTTTAAAAAATACCATCTGGGAAGCCATAAGTGTGAGAAATGGAGTCAGTTTGTGGCCCTTGTTGGTGAGAAAGACCCTCCTTAAAGGTTTTGATCAGAGGCAATTCTGCCCACTCCTGCTGCTGCCCCAGCTTGTGGGGAGGGAGGTTCCTGGAACCTCCCTTGGGTCAGTTACCTGGATGACATTATAACATGCTGGTATGCAATGCGATGTTCTATGGCTTTGAATTGTCCGTTAAATAATAAATGTTCCTCTTTATGCCGTTTCCCAGATGTGGTGGGAGCAGAGGAGAGGGGCAAGCTTCTAGCCACCCACACGGCAGCAGCAATGTCCAAAAGTGCGTCTCCACACAGTCCTTACCCAGCCGTGGAGAACACAGGTGGGGCTGTAGCCGGCCCACACCCTCATGGCAGCCTGCCCCTCACAGATGAAAGGCTTTCGAAGCGTTTGTCAAGAAAGACTTTGGTAGAGTTTCCTCAGAAAGTTCTGTCTCCACCCCGAGTACAGGGTTCTGACTCAGAGGCTCAGCGGCGTAAGCAGAAGGTGACAAATGGTTCATCCTCATCTTCCTCATCCAGCTCCTCAGATTCAGACTCTGATGGGGAGGGACATGACTCAAAGATGGAGCCCCGAGTGGCAAGCAAAGGCAAGGCAGGGTCTTACAAACCAGAGGCCTCTCGGCCCTTCCAGAATGGAGTCCCTAACATCACTGTACCTGCAAAAGAGAAAGCCAAGGTGCAAAAGCCACGTACAGATGTCACCTACCCAGAGAAGTCCCAGCAGCCAAAGAAGAAAGGGACCATCACCAAGCCTATAGAGGACAGCAAAGAAACCAGATCCAACCCTGTGACATCCAGATCACAGTCCAGTGAGATTTTGGACCAAAACATGAAGGAAGAACACCCGCAGGGGAAACTCAGGCCAAGTAAGACCAAGAAGGAAAGCCCAAAGCCGCTTGAAGCTGAAGAAATCTTACCCGACTGCACAAAGGCCAGGTCATCTGCAAGGCTCACCAGTGGCCCAGTGCCCACAGTGAGAACACAAGAGACCAGCGCAGGAGAACAGCTAGCAGCCACTACACCCATGGCCGGAGCCAGACATCTGGAACCAAAAGTGCCAAAGCCTGAATTTAAGGCAGCTTCTCCTCAGGTCCCGGTTGGAAAAGAAAGCCTGGAGAAGCAGGTGCCAGAAGGATTCTTGACGGCCAAGGTGGAGACCTTGGAAGATCAGACACCTGTGGGATATTCGAAGACAGTTCCTGTCCAGAAGAAAGATACCTTTGAAGAGAGAGCAGAACCACAGCTAGAGGGGAGGTTCCAGGCAGCAGTCGGTGAAGCTCCGCCCACTGATGCAAGCCCACTCCAGGAAGCCCCAGGCGACTCTCAGGGTACACCTTGCCTTGGTTCAGACTCCTTGTCCTTTAGGGTGTATAGCTTCTGTAGAACCCTCTTGAGTGTCTGTGTGTTTAGAAAGCAGTATCTTTATTTTCATCTGTTTATTTCTTTGGCACAGAGTAATGTAGCTCAGGGCGATTTCAAACTTGCTAGATGGTTGACACTGGCATTGCCACCCCTGATCCTCCTGCCTCTGACTCCCTGTGCTGAGTTCAGGTGTGCGCCGCTTGACCTTGTTCGACTGTTTCTTTCTTCTTTTTTTTTTTCTGAGACAGGGTTTCCCTGTAGCTTTGGAGCCTGTCCTAGAAGTAGCTTTGTTTTGTTTTTGTTTTTTTGTTTTTCCGAGACAGGGTTTCTCTGTAGCTTTGGAGCCTGTCCTGGAACTAGCTCTGTAGACCAGGCTGGCCTCGAACTCACAGAGATCTGCCTACCTCTGCCTCCCCAGTGCTGGGATTAAAGGCACAAGCCACCACCATCCAGCTGTTCGGCTGTTTCTTAGACAGTAATGTATGGAAACTGATAACTTAGCATCACCACGCTTAGCCTTGGAGGGTGCCTAAGCACATAGTTCATGAACTTGGCCAACTTCCTGCTGAGTGGAAATCAGAGTCTCCTGTGACACTGCATGGGTCAGGAGCAGCAGTCACTTGGTGGTGGTGGCCCTTAGGTGGACTGAACTAGAGAGGCAGCTTAGCAACCTTGTTCACAGTTGAAGTAAGTATTAGCAGGTAGGCAGCCATGGACCGCGCCCATGGTCTTTTCACAGTTACAGCACCATGGGCTGTTCATCTTCTACAGTGAGTTTCTATTGAGGAACTTTTCGAGGAGGACTATACTCCTGACATCCTGCGTGCTCTTGCGTATGTGTGACATCCTCCGGCAGCTCACTGGAAAACAGGAATTTTTTGATTTTAGAATCTGCAGCTCTTAAGATGAGAGTTGCTTAAGATGCAGCATCGCTAACAAGACCTTCTTCCTGCACCTTCATGCCATTCTGAGCCCACCCTTGCTTGCCGGCTTTGCCCTTCCCAGTGTGCTAACTGTTGCTCTTCCAGGATGCTGACAGCATTTGTTTTCTTCCTTTTCCATTTCCCTTCTCTCACTAATACACCAGGTACCAGTGCACGGCAGACGTCCTAAGGCCTCGGGACCTGCCCTTCTGACACTGTGGCAGCTTCCGGATTTGGTCTCAACTGGAGAGGAGTGCCTCAAACCCAGGATGAAAATACAGGACTGGGGGCTTCTAGGGGAAACAAATCCTCACGGGGCTGCTGATGTAGATTAGTGTGGGGCTCAGCCAGTGAGGAAGGGCCTGGGCTCAGTTTCCAACACTACAGAAACAAACTTGCTCCCCGCCCCCAAACCATTTTTGCTGGCAGCTAAGGCTCACAAGTGGTCCTTGCCCGAAGCTCCTTGCTTACAGGTGAGCGGCTTTTGAAAGAGTTTGGAATTCCCCGACTCCATCTGTTGTCGCCTCCCCTATAATAACCATGTAATCCATGGCTTTGAAGGTGCGCCTTCACCACCCAAAGAGCTTCAGCTTGCCAATGTAGAGAAGAGGCCAGCTCCAGTAGACATTCTTTTCTTTCTTTTTCCCCTTTGTAAATTAAACAATGAGAATCAGCTTTTGGATTTGGAATAGAGAAGTAGGTATTTAAGTTGTTAGGGCGCATAGCTTTTCTGCACTGTGAGTAGAGACTGAGACAGCTCTATTGACCTGATTTCTAGAGCCTTGGGAAGTCAGCCCAGACCTTGCCCCGTGGCCCTCGCCAGCTTTGTCTCCTGTTTGGTTGCATTTGCATTGCAGAAGAGCCCTGTCCTTTTGCTTCAGTCCCACACTTCGAATTTTAAGTTTATCAAGTATTTAGGTATATAGGTTTAATTTTTCCCATTTAAGATAAAAGGCTAAGTGTGTGTGTTTGTTTGTTCATTTCTGTCTATGAGTCTGAAGGTAGCAACAATTTTCCCCAAAAAGTTAAAACAGCAAAACTGCACCTTCCTCCCATGTTTTTTTTTTTTTTTTTTTTATCATTATTGGGACACTCAGCTTTTTCTCAGATCTGTGATGGCCGTTTTCATCACAAACAGATGTGATGAAATACGCAAAGGGATGTGATTTTAGGACACTGCCACTTTGTTATCAAAGCGGAGTCATCCTGTGTCCTGGCAGGCCTGTGATGCAATCTCAAGAAGGTTTCTGTGGCAGGACCAGGGGTGGGTGTCTTAGGATGACAGCATTGCCTTCATGTGCTGTGATTGTTCTTAACCAGTAAGATGATAAATCTCAGCCTGCATTTTCAGGCGATTCTTTTATTGTTTTGAAGACATGGGGGTCCTCAGGGTCTCCTCCCTGCTAGTTAGACTGCTCTCACGTCAGACTGGAGTTGTGGGGACTTCTGCCTCCTGAGCGCTCAGATGGAGGGGTGTCTGACCGCTCTCCTGTCTGTTTCCTCTACAGAGCCCACTCTGGCCCCTGAGCCGACGGATGCCACTACCTACAAGAACCTGCAGCATCATGACTACAATACATACACCTTCCTGGACCTGAACCTGGACCTCTCCAAGTTCAGGATGCCACAGCCCTCCTCAGGACGAGAGTCGCCTCGGCACTGAGTTCAACTCACAGTAGCCCCATGTCGGTCCCATGAATTCATTGCCTGTGAGAATAAAAGTCAACCACAAGCTCAGTGTGTCGTTATTATCCCTCACAGCTCCCAGAGAATGAATTAGTAACCCTGATTATTTTTGTAGAGTCTGTATCATTCAGTGGCATCCTCCAGAGGCCACAGTGAGATGTTCACAGTTCTTCCAGGTTAGAATCTGCGGCTCCTGGAGACAACGACAGACTGCATCATCCCTAACAAGGCCTGGGGGACATCGCCTATTAGGAATGACTATGTATGACATCCCTGTTTAATTGCAAGTCTACGGCGAGCCAGAGGGATCCATAACAAGAGAGAAGCAGGGTACCTTCCGGCCCACTCTGCTTTGCACTGGCAGGCAGTGGGGTGTTGGTTAAATGGAGTGGTAACTTCTAGATCTGAGCCACAGCCTGGATAGACTGGGGGTAGGAGTTACACTGATTGTAGTTACTGCATCACAAAAGAAAAACTGGTGTGTGTGAGAGAGAAAGAGTAGAAACGGGATGGCAATTATACTGATTGTAGCTGCTACATTATAAATAAGTAAGCACATACACACGTATCTACACAAAGAGTAGAAAAGGGTAGGAGTTACGCTGATTTTAACTGCTATGTTACAAAAAAAAAATTAGTGTGTGTGTGTACATATATACATATATATACATGTAAACAGAATGTCCAGACTGGCCTTCAGCTTGGCCCTCCTGCCTCAGCTTCTCTACCTCTGGGATACAAACATGTGCTACCACATCTGAAAAGGCCAGCTGGGTGCCCTCCAGGACAGCAGAGACTGGTGGCCACAGCACACTGAGCAATGTAGCTGTGCAGAGGTCCATGTTAGCTTAGGAACCCTTGCCACCCAACTTCCATTCACACTTCTCAGAGTTAGTTCAAGTGGAAAACTCACCCAACGATACTGTGATCCTCTGTTGATTTTGTAACCAGCACAAGGCTCGGCAACTCAGCAAGGGTCTTTTAATCATGTGGTGAGACTTATTCTTCTGGTCTTACATGTTTATATAATGTACTTGGATCACACATCCATTGCCCACTCCAGCCCCCCTCTCCCTCCCATTGAACTTCCCTCCTACTCTGATGTCCACTTCATTTAACTAGGGTTGCTTATGTGAGTGTGGACTGGGACTCCTCCCTGGAGCAGAGGTGTCTTAGGGTTTCTATTACTGTGATAAACACCATGGCCAAAAGCAACTTAGGGAGGAAAGGGTCTGTTTCATCCTAGACCTTAACAGTCCACCTCTGAGGGAAGTCTGGGCAGGAGCCTGGAGACAGAAACTAAAATGAAGCAGAGGCCACTGGAGAATCTACTGATTTGCTTGTGTTCTTATATAACCCAGGATCACCCAGCCAGGGGCTGCACAGTGAACTTGATTCTCCATCAACTTAGTCTAGACAATGCTCTACAGCCTTGCCCATGGGCAATCTGATGAGGCAGGTTTTTCAACAGAGGGTCTTTCTTCCCAGGTTTAACCCAATCTAGGTTTGTGTCAAGTTGATAAAAAACTAACAAGCACAGGGTCAACTTATGAGCAGCTGTACCACTGAGGACATGACTGCCCTCTAACATTGACTGCTGAGAGACTGTACCACTGGGGACATGACTGCCCTCTAACACTGACTGCTGAATGACTGTAACAGAAGACCTGACTACCCTCTAACATTGCTAACGACTGTACCACTGGGGACATGACTGCCCTCTAACACTGACTGCTGAGTGACTATACCACTGGGGACATGACTGCCCTCTAACACTGACTGCTGAACGACTGTACCAGAGGACCTGACTACCCTCTAACATTGCTAACGACTGTACTACTGAGGACATGATTGCCCTCTAACACTGACTGCTGGCAGCTTCACAGGAGGAACTGGGCCAATGAGTCCCTCCTCCATCCACGGTCCATGTTAACTGGCTCAGTCTAGCGTAAGTAGCCTCTACTACTTCACAGTCCTCCTCATCATCTTCTGGCTCTAGCATCCTTTCCACCTGCTTGTTCCGAGGAATTCTCTGAGCTTTGGATGAGACAGGATAGGTACAGCTGTCCCATTTAGAACTGAGAACAGTCACTTTTTCTCTGCCCTTTCACCAGTTCTGATGAGTCCCTGCGTTAACTGCCACCCACTGAGACAGAGAGTAGAGTGATTGTGATTGACTCTCGCCTGTCACCTGGGGTCTCCTAATCACATTTCTTATTAAACTACTTAAGTACTGTACCAAAAGTAACAAAAGTGGAAAGCAGTAAGAATTTCCAGAATTCACCATACCAGCTCTTCTCCCCAGATGGAGATGGTGTGAGGTGGATGTACCTAGCTTTAATGTTCAAACTTTGACTTTAGCTTAGCAGCTTCTCAAATTCAGGCAATTGAGGGATGTGCAGCCTTGAACGGAAAGTAATATATAGGCCGGGCAGTGGTGGCACACGCCTTTAATCCCAGCACTCGGGAGGCAGAGGCAGGCGGATCTCTGTGAGTTCGAGACCAGCCTGGTCTACAAGAGCTAGTTCCAGGACAGGCTCCAAAACCACAGAGAAACCCTGTCTCAAAAAACCAAAAAAAAAAAAAAGAAAGTAATATATAAATTGCATTTGTGTGTACGCGTGCACGAGTGTGTCCACACACATTCACACATGTCACAGCACATACATGGAGGTCAGACGACAACCTGCAGGAGCTGATTTTCTCCTTCCACTATGTGGGTCTGAGAGACAGAATTCAGGTCACCAGGCTTAGCAGCTCCCACCCTCGGAGCCATCTCTCTCGCATCAAGAATACGTTTTAATCTAAACAGGAATCATGAGGCTTGAACCGTTCTCGCCTTGGAACTGGTCCCTCTGGGCTGTCTCTGCCTTCTTGGCAGTTGGCTCACTGCCCATTGAAAGAGCTGAAAGACAATGACAGGCAGCCCCAGGCACGGTCACAGCTGGTGCCTCCTGGGTACTCCATCTGGTAGCAATGTAGTGGTTACCCCCAGAGTCAGTTTTGGGGTGGCAGAGGGAGGTGTCTGTTTTTTTCCCCTTCTCTAAGGATTGCTGCCAGAGCATCTGTGTGGCTCGAACTTGCCTGTGCTTTGAGTCACTGCCTTAGGATGGCTCTCCTGATTCTCACCCGAGTCACACACTGCCGACTTTAGTTCTGCTTTCCTTTGGCTGAATTTTAAAACAGTGTGACATGTATGACTATGGTTCCTATTTTTCTGTCACCTGTACCCTGGCATCTTTTCTAGAGTTGCTCCTTCGTATATGGTGCAGATGCCCACGGAACAGAGCGGGTTGTACACAAAGTTCCCTCAACCCTTGAAGCCAGCAGGAGCCTATCCTGCTGTGTCCGTTGCAGTCACCATAAACAGCCACTTCTCATTTGAATAACTTGTGTTCTGCTGGCCGTACTGGCCTCGGAGCCAAATGCACACCCAGATTGCCTCAGCAGAGTCTGGCTTGCACACAAGAAACAAGCCAACATTCAGAAGCTGTGCTCAGTGCCCCTGAGGTTATTCTGTAAGGATGTGGAGTTTGCACACTTAGCTTCTGTTAAGGCAGGACAGCAGATGCTTGGTCAAGCCAGCAGGAAATGCAGTAGGTTTTGTAGTCCTTACAAGATCTCAATTCTGGTCTCTTCCTGTAGCCCTCTTAAAGTACAGGCCATTACGGCAGTAGCACTACCCTTGTGTACTAAAGGGGACAGTGTACAAGACCTTGTCAGTGAGGCCATGGTTTGGCAGTCAGGGGATTCAAGGTGTCACCATGGTTTCTTTTTTGCTTTTTCCAGACAGGGTGTCCTAGCTGTCTTGGAACTCACTCTGTAGACCAGGCTGGCCTTGAACTCACAGAGATCTGCCTGCCTCTGCCTCTTGAGCTCTGGGATTAGAGGTGTATGCCACCACTGCCCGGCATCACCATGGTTTCTTTAGCAAAAGGCTGGTCAGAGATGAAACTGAGGCAGATAGGGTGTTTAAGGTGCTGAGCACCTTCACCCCATCTCTCTTTTTTACACTCCTCTCACCTTTGTTCCAGAAGGGCCCAGAAATGCTATAATGTAAAAGGTTCACAATGGCTAACAGAAATGATTGTCACCTCAGAGTTCTGGAAGAAGCCTTTATTTATTTATTTATTTATTTTTGGTTTTTCGAGACAGGGTTTCTCTATAGCTTTGGTGCCTGTCCTGGAACTAGCTCTTGTAGACCAGGCAGGCCTCGAACTCCCAGAGATCCGCCTGCCTCTGCCTCCCGAGTGCTGGGATTAAAGGTGTGCGCCACCACCGCCCGCGAAGCTTTATTTTATTATTATTGTTTTAATCTTAACACTTGGAATTCTCACTCTCCACCCTCAACTGTGCGGTGAGAGGGACAGTGGCAGAGATGGAAGAGGTGGAAAGGGTTGGTGAGGGCAGAAGGGGGTTTGTGGTTCCATTTTCATAGTAAAAGACCTTTGAAGCTCCCACTAATCCCATGCAGAATGGACTAGGAAAGGAAGCTCGAGCCAGGGAGGATTGGGACACCGCTATGCTCAAGTGGTGGGTGGTAAAGGGCCAGCTACTGAATATGGCAGCCATACCTGTCCTCATCTCTGAGACAGCCAAGGTACAGCAGAGCAAAGCCAGGCACCGAGTACCTCTGCCACCACTGCCACGGCAGCCACCACAACCACTGCTGCCTTCAGAGGTTCTGGGAAGGTCATTCCCTTGCCTTTACCAGGAACAAAGCTTCCTGCCTTCAAAGCTATTTCCAGGAGAAAGCTATTTAAATTAAAGAGTTGGGAAGAAAGAACAGAAAAGGTGAGGTGGGGTGGGGTGGGGTGGGGGTGGAGTGAGGGAGGGAAGCAGCTCTCCGGGTCTGAGGCCCTCTGAGATCCTGAGGGTGGGGAAGGCATACAGGTTGGTTGTCCAGTGCTGTCCTCATTGCCGGACTCTGGACTGCAGAGCAAGCCCTCGCTCAGCTTCAGACACCTCAGACAGCCGGCTTCTCCTGGTTCGGTTTCCACTTTCCTCCCTTTTCACTGTGGTGCGGGGCCCTTTAAAAGATCCTCA